AGGAAAGGATGAATTGCATGTTAGTAATGAACAGATGATTCTGAACAAATCCTATTAACCCTGTTGTTATAGAATGTTGCACATCAAAGTGTTTTGCTGATGCTGCGGGAAATCTGGAGGATGTTATGTCTAACGTCGTGCTATAGTAATTTACACAAAACTCAAACTGTGTAAGTGAGTTATTAAATTGACTGTTGCTCCAATCACTTGCCTGTCTGAGACAAGGGAAGGATTTGCTGCTTCATTTGAGAGATAGATGTGTGTCTTCCCGTATCCAAGACTTGACTGCATCCCCTAAGTGTGTCCCTCTCTATGTTCTCAATGCTCCCCATCTTGACCTGCATTGCCCCATGTGTTTCAATGTGATCACTAATCATCTAAACTCCAGAGAATAACAACCCAATTTACTCAGCTTTCTTTTTCTTTATTCATTTATGGAATGAAGGCATCGCTGGCCAGGCAGCATTTATTGCCCATTCCTAACAGAGGGCAGTTAAGAGTCAACCACATTGCTGTGGGTCTGGAGTCACATGTAGGCCAGACCAGGTAAGGAAGACAGTTGCCTTCCCTAAAGGACATTAGTGAACCAGATGGGTTTTTCCAATAATCGACAGTGGATTCATGGTCATCATTAGACTCTTAATTCCAGATATTTATTGAATTCAAATTCCAACATCTGCCATGGCAAGGTTTGAACCCAGATTCCCAAAACATTATCTGGGTCTCTGGATTAACAGTCCAGCGATAATACCACTAGGCCATAACCTCCCCTAAATCATTATCATTAGCTTATCATTAGCTGACATCACAAGGATCAGTTAAATAAAACGTGCTCCAATGTAAGTACATCCTTCCTTAAAAATGGACAGTAAAACTGCAATTCCCAGCTGTGAAATTAGCAAAATCCTGCAACATAATGACTTTATGCCTGTACTGCCATCCCCTTGTCATACAGGTCAACACACCATTTGGAGGATGTCATTTCAAATTTAATACGAGTGAATTCTATATTGTGATCACTGTCTCCCCATGGTTTACTTACTATGAGATTACTAATTAACCCTGTATTGTTACACAAAATTAGATCTAAAATAGTTTTAGCCTCAATTGATTCTGCAATGCATTGCTGCAGGAAATTTACAAAAGCAGTCTACAAACACAGTCCCCAAAACATATTTGCTTTATTATACCCTCCAACATGACAACTGTGTGAACTTTAATTTTCACGAGGACTGGATTAATCAAGTAGGCAGGGATTTTTTGTTTAATTCTCTATTTGACATTTGGGCCCTCGAATAGTAATTACAAACTTTTACGACTGACAATTTCTGGTACTTATTCTAATTTTCACCCATGATAAATGAAATTTCAAATTATCTGAGCCAGAACCCTTTCTCTCAAATTTCCTTGTGGTCAACTTTTATGATCAGAGTTATCTCTCCTTTTCCGTTTAGCCTGTCCTTTCAAAACATTGCTATTGTCCATATTTATTTCCTATCTTTAGTTAGCTTGCAACTACGTCACCTAATTTTCTTTATTTTATGCCATTAGTTCCTTTAGTTTGTGGCAGACGGTCCACTCATTCAGGTAGTAACTTTCACTTGTGCATGGTCCTTACTCTCTGTTACACCCAGTACCATTCTTACCCACAGCAATAGGCTTTCACATTGCCTCAGCTATTAGAGTGGGCAGGCAAGCAGCAAATTTAATATGGAGAAGTGTGAAATGATTCAGCTTGGGAGGAAAAATGTGAAGAGGTAGGATAAAATAAAGGGCATGTCTATAAACGGTTGCAGGAGCAAAGGAACCATAGGAACAAGGAACAGAAGTAGGCCATTCAACCCCTTGAACTTGCTCCAGGATTCATTAGGATCATTGTTGATCCATACACCGCTTTCCTGCATTTTCCCCACAACCCTTGATTTCTCTACTGCAGCCTTACAATACACACAAAGAACTCTGGAATTCATCGTCACAGAAGGCTGTGTTTCAAAGACTATGAACCTCAGAGAGAAGAAATTCCTTATCTCAGTATTAATTTGGCATCCCTTTATTCAGAGATTATGCCCTCTAGTCCTAGACTCACCCAGCAGGGAGAACATCTTCTTAGCATTTACCCTGTTAAGCCACTTAAGAATCCTATATGTTTCAACAAGATTACCTCTTATTCTTCTAAACTCCACTGAATAGAGTCCCAATCTGTTTAGCATTTGCTCATAAGACACTCCCTCCAAATTACAATCATCTTACTGGACCTTCTCTGAACTGAAATGATATCTTTCAAAGAACAAAGAAAATTACAGCACAGGAACAGGCCCTTCGGCCCTCCAAGCCTGTGCCGATCCAGATCCTCTATCTAAACCTGTCGCCTATTTTCCAAGGATCTGTATCCCTCTGCTCCCTGCTCATTCATGTATCTGTCTCAATATATCTTAAATGACGCTATCGTGCCCGCCTCTACCGGCAACGCGTTCCAGGCACCCACCACCCTCTGCATAAAGAACTTTCCACGCATATCTACCTTAAACTTCTTCCCTCTCACCTTGAAATCGTGACCCCTAGTAATTGAGCCCCCCACTCTGGGAAAAAGCTTCTTGCTATCCACCCTGTCTGTACCCCTCATGATTTACCCCCTCAAACTCCGTCTTTCTAATGTAAATAATCCTAATCTATTCAACCTCTCTTCATAGCTAGTGCCCTCCATACCAGGCAACAGCCTGGTGAACCTCCTCTGCACCCTCTCCAAAGCATCCACATCCTTTTGGTAATGTGACGACCAGAACTGTACACAGTATTCCAAATGTGGTCGAACCAAAGTCCTATACAACTGTAACATGACCTGCCAACTCTTGTACTCAATACCCCGTTCGATGAATGAAAGCATGCTGTATGCCTTCTTGACCACCCTAGCGACCTGCGTTGCCACCTTCAGGTTACAATGGACCTGAACACCCAGATCTCTCTGTGCATCAATTTTCCCCAGGGCTTTTCCATTTACCGTTTTTCCATTCTCCTTAAATAAGGAGACCAAAACTGCTCACAGCACTCCAGATGTGGCCTCACCAGCATCTTGCAGGAAGACGTCCCTACTCTTTTACTCCAATCGCCTTGAAATAAGGGCCAACATTCCATGAGCGTTCCTGAATACCTGTTGCACGTGCTAGCTTTCTGTGTTTCATACACAAGAACCCCCCCCGCCACTCCAAGTCTCTTTGTGTTGCAACTTTCTACAGTTTTCACCATTTAAATAATACTGTCCTTTTGATCTCCCCACCAAAATACTCCACATTATACTCCATTTGCTAACTTTTTACCCACTAATTTATCCCTCTCACAACCTGCCCTTCCACTTATTTTTGTGTCATCTGCAAATTTCTACAATGTTTCCTCCATTTTTGCAGCAGCAGTGGGAGCGGTGACAGCGAGGACCAGGGGGCTGCCGAGAAGGTAAGTTCTTCATTTCGGCAGCGGAGCTGAGTGGGAGCGGTCAAAGTGCGCTGTGGGAAGGTGAGTGAACTGATATATTTGGGCAGTGGCTAAACTCAAGACACTACACATATAGTGTCTCCCAACCACCCTCCTCCTCTGACCGAAAAAAAAAGACTATGTGGTGTGTTGATAAGGTAAGTTTTTCTTTTTCTTTTTTTTTATCGTGTGCTGGTAAGTAGAGTGATTGGTAAAAATTTTTTCATTTATCTATTTTTTGATATTATAGTAGGACTAAGCTGAGCTTAAGAGTAAAAATGACTGGAGATCCCAGACCCATGTTATGCTCGTCTTGCTCAATGTGGGAGCTCAAGGATGCGACTGATGTGCCTGACACCTACACGTGCAGAAAGTGTGTCCAGCTGCAGCTCTTGTTAGACCACATGACGGCTCTGGAGCTGCGGATGGACTCCATTTGGAGGATCCGCGATGCTGAGGAAGTCGTGGATAGCACATTTAGCAAATTGGTCACATCGCAGATTAGGATTGCTGAGGGATAAAGGGAATGGGTGACCAAAAGTCAGCGAAAAAAAAAGGAAGGCAGTGCAGATGTCCCCTGCGGTCATCTCCCTCCAAAATAGGTATACCGTTTTGGATACTGTTGGGGGAGATGGCTTACCAGGGGAAGGCAGCGGTAGCCAGGTTCATGGCATCATGGCTGGCTCTGCTGTACAGAAGGGCGGGAAAAAGAGTGGAAGGGCTATTGTCATAGGGGATTCGATTGTAAGGGGAGTTGATAGGCAGTTCTGTGGTCGAAAACGAGACTCTGGAATGGTATTGAGTACAACGGGGTATTGAGTACAAGAGTTGGCAGGTCATGTTACAGTTGTATAGGACTTTGGTTCGACCACATTTGGAATACTGCGTACAGTTCTGGTCGCCACATTACCAAAAAGATGTGGATGCTTTGGAGAGGGTGCAGAGGAGGTTCACCAGGATGTTGCCTGGTATAGAGGGCTCTAGCTATGAAGAGAGGTTGAGTAAATTAGGATTATTTACATTAGAAAGACGGAGATTGAGGGGGGACCTGATTGAGGTCTACAAAATCATGAGACGTATTGACAGGGTGGATAGCAAGAAGCTTTTTTCCCCCAGAGTGGGGGACTCAATTACTAGGGGTCACGATTTCAAAGTGAGAGGGGAAAAGTTTAAGGGAGATATGCGTGGAAAGTTCTTTACGCAGAGGGTGGTGGGTGCCTGGAACGCGTTGCCAGCGGAGGTGGTAGAGGCGGGCACGATAGCGTCATTTAAGATGTATCGAGACAGATACATGAATGGGCAGGGAGCAGAGGGATACAGATCCTTGGAAAATAGGCGACAGGTTTAGATAGAGGATCTGGATCGGCGCAGGCTTGGAGGGCCGGAGAGCCTGTTCCTGTGCTGTAATTTTCTTTGTTCTTTGTTTAACTGGACTGAGCCACTGAGCGGATGGAGTGTGTGGAACCAAATGTGATCAGACAGGTTGCAGTGTTGCTAAGAAAACTCTTTATTTCAGAAATGTAGTGGAGAGTTTTACAAATCATTACACACACAGTGCAACTGGACACACATCGTCCTGGGAACAGGGAGGAACAGAGGGTGATGTCCTTTAATGGTCACTCTCTGTGCAATCACACTCAGAAGGTTCTGGGTAACTGCAAGAGAAGGAGCATACTCAAGAATAAAACCATGACACAACTGGGTGATATCAGAGCCTCAGGTTGACTAAAAATGCGCCCACACACACACACACACGAGAGAGAGAACTTCAGAGCCGGGTGGCTTTGGACGTCTGGTAGGAACGCTATAACTCCAATCAGAGATCGAAAACCTGGAGACTGAACACTTGGCTGAGGTTCACCATCTCCGTCCTCTCCAATACTTCAGCCTTCATGTTGGGGTGATTGTCTTCCTCTGTATCCTTAGCCGGTGAACCCAGGCCTGAAATCTAAAACACAGCTCATTGGTGCAAACAGGACTTTGACAAAAACAACTTCAACACAGTGTCTAAAGGTACTTACTCCCTCCTGCACTCCCGAGGTTTCATAATTCTTCCCTGAATTATCACTGTGCCAGCATCCCAAATGATTACAGCCCCCAGCTTATTTGTCCCCCATTAATCCTTCCAGACTTCTCCCCTTCTCCAGCATAATTTACAATGGGCAGTAAAAGCCAGCCAAGTTAGTGATGACCAAATCCCATGAATGAAACTAAAATAATAAAAGAAGAAAGAACAATACAGCACAGGAACAGGCCCTTCGGCCGTCCAAGCCTGCGCCAACACATTTTGCCCTTCCATACTAAAACTGGCTTCACTTACAGGATCTGTATCCCTCTATTCCCTTCCTATTCATGTATTCGACCAGGTGATTCTTGAATGCTGCTATTGTGTCTGCTTCCACCACCTCTTCTGGCAATGCGTCCCAGGCACTCACCACCCTTTGTGTGAAAACCTGGCTGCACTCATCTCTTTTAAACTTCACCCCCTCCCCCCTCGCACCTTGAACCTGTGTCCCCTAGTGATTTGACTCCTCCACCCTCATACTTCCATTCTCTCCATGCCATTCACAATCTTATAAACTTCTATTAGGTCACCCTTCAACCTCCTGCATTCCCGTGAAAACAAACCGAGTCTATCCAACCTTTCTTCATAGCTAAAGTCCCCCATACCAGGCAATATCCTGGTAAACCTTTTCTGTACCCTCTCCAAAGCATCCACATCCTTCTGGTAGTGTGGTAATCAGAACCTATACGTAATATTCCAAGTGTGACCAAACTAAATTCTATAAAGCTGCAGCGTAACTTGCCTATCCTTATACTCAATGCCCCTTCCAATGAAGGCAAGCATGCCATAAGCCTTTTTTACTGCCTTATCTACCTGCGCTGCCACCTTCAGTGATCTGTGGACCTGCACACCCAGATTCCTCTGCATATCAATACTCCTAAGAGTTCTGCCATTCACTGTATAATTTCCACCTGTACTTGACCTTCCAAAATGCGTCACCTCATATTTGCCTGGATTAAACTCCATCTGCTGTTTTTCTGCCCATGTCTCCAGCTAATCTATATCCTGCTGCATCCTCTGACAATCCTCCTCACTATCCACAAATCCATCAATCTTTGTATCATCCGCAAACTTACTAATTAGACCAGCTAAGTTTCCTCCAAATCATTTATGTAGATCACAAACAGCAGACGTCCCAGCACTGATCCCTGTGAAACATCACTAGTCACAACCCTCCATTCCGAAAAACATCCTCCCACCACCACCTTCTATCTCCTATGGCTAAGCCAGTTCTGTATCCATCTTGCCAGCTCACCCGGATACTATGTGACTTCACCTCTTGTACCAGTCTGCCATGAGGGACCTTGTCAAAGGTCAAAATAAACTCTTTTGTATTTGTTCTCAATCTGTTCAAATCTGGATCCTGCTCCCTGGCAAAGTTTGTAATCTTGCTATCACTTTGGACCACGAGATGAGATCCCCATCTTGTAGTTATGAGATGACTAAAATGACCTTTTTCCACCACACAACATTGCCAGACTTTGCCCTAGCTCAGCTGAGTGCCTATTGAAGTCCTCATCTTTGTTTTATTCAAAGAACAAAGAATAAAGAAAATTACAGCACAGGAACAGGCCCTTCGGCCCTCCAAGCCTGCGCCGATCCAGATCCTCTATCTAAACCTATCACCAATTTTCCAAGGATCTGTACCCCACTGCTCCCTGCCCATTCATGTATCTGTCTAGATACATCTTAAATGACGCTATCGTGCCCGCCTCTACCACCTCCGCTGGCAACGCGTTCCAGGCACCCACCACTCTCTGCGTAAAGAACTTTCCACGTATATCTCCCTCTCACCTTGAAATCATGACCCCTAGTAATTGAGTCCCCCACTCTGGGAAAAAGCTTCTTACTATCCATAATATTTATTCCTCTAGAAATATCTATTACAATACTCCCTGGGCTGCTATCCTGTGTTCTACCCGCTGGACACCTGGGCTAGGGATGTTCTAACTCACCCCGACCCCTCTTCACTGATCACTCCCCCCATCCTGCTGACCTCTCAGAATGCAGTTATAGAGCACTTGCATTTTAAAAAACTCATGCTTGCATTCTGATCCCTCTATAGTCCAGGCCTCCCTATCTATGATCGCCTGCAAAATCTAGGATCTCTGTCCTTATACCCAACACAGATATTAAACTCTTCACCAGTGGTGGCCTTGTCAGTATCTTCCTGGTCCCTGAAAGCCCTGGATTCCCATCCCAACCTACACCTCCCGGGCACTGCCACATTACACTCTGGGACATTTTATGTAAAGGGTAATGTACGAATGTAAAGTCTTGTTTTGCCTCCCACTATCTCTGCCTTCCTCCCTCTCACTTGGTAGTTTTTCATTCATTTTCTCCCGTCCTTTTCCCCCTCCTCCATAATTTAAAGCTTACCTCCAATGCCTGCTGGAGACCTGTGGTAGGCTACTATGGCACTGCAAAAATAAAACACAACTGATTAATGACTGATATTCAGACAGAGAACAACAGGACAAAGACAGCAAGCCAAGGCAATGACCAGTGTTTACAAACAGCTGGGACTCAGAGTTCACAGAATCTCCTGGAATAGTCCAGACCTGTCAACAAGTGGACTGAAGTGCCAGCCAAGACCCACAGGGAAAGGACAAAGCCTGTCGGAGGGTCAGTGCTGAGGGAGTGCTGCACTGTCAGAGGGTCAGCACTGAGGGAGCAGGCACTGTCGGAGAGTCAGTGCTGAGGGAGTGCCGCACTGTCGGAGGGTCAGTGCTGAGGGAGTGCCGCACTGTCGGAGGGTCAGTGCTGAGGGAGTGCCGCACTGTTGGAGGGTCAGTGCTGAGGGAGTGCCGCACTGTCAGAAGGTCAGGGCTGAGGGAGTGCTGCACTGTAGGAAGGTCAGTGCTGAGGGAACGGGCACTGTTAGAGGGTCAGTGCTGAGGGAGTGCTGCACTGTGACAGGGTCAGTGCTGAGGGAGCAGGCACTGTCGGAGGGTCAGTGCTGAGGGAGCGCTGCAATGTTGGAGAGTCAGTGCTAAGGGAGCAGGCATTGTCAGAGGGTCAGTGCTGAGGGAGCGTTGTGCAGTCCAAGGGTCAGTGCTGAGGGAGTGCTGCACTGTCAGAGGGTCAGTGCTGAGGGAGCACCACGTTGTCAAAGGGTCAGTGCTGAGGGAGTGCCGCGCTTTCGGAGGGTCAGTGCTGAGGGAGCGTTGCGCTGTCGGAGGGTCAGTGCTGAGGGAGTGCTGCACTGTCAGAGGGTCAGTGCTGAGGGAGTGCTACACTGTCAGAGGGTCAGTGCTGAGCGAGTGCTGCACTGTCAGCGGGTCAGTGCTGAGGGAGTGCTGCATTATTAGAGGGTCAGTGCTGAGGGAGTATGGCACTATTGAAGGGTCAGTGCTTAGAGGCAGTGCTGCTTCATCGGATAGCAATTACTGAGGAAGTGCTGCACTGTCAGAGGGTCAATACTGAGGGAGCACCTCACTACAGGAAGGTAAGTACTGGAGGAGTGCTGCAGTGTCGAATGGTCATTACTGAGGGAGTGTGGCACTGTCAGAGGGTCCGTGCTGAGGTAGCACTGCACTGTTGAAGGGTCAAGACTGAGGGAGTGCCGGAGTACACCATCTGACCATCGCTGAGACAATGACCAAATACTCTGTTTTAACGTTTTATCTATTCAGAGGATGTGGGGGTTGCTGTCTGATCCATCATTTATTATTTACTGCCCATCCCTAGTTGCCATTGAGAAAGTGGTGGTTAGAGTCACAGAATCAGAGAGATATACAGCATGGAAACTGACCCTTTGGTCCAACTCGTCCATGCCGACGAGATATCCTGTATAAATCTAGTCCCATTTGCCAGCATTTGGCTCATATCGTTCTAAACCCTTCCTATTCATGTACCCATCCAGATGCCTTTTAAATGTTGTAATTGTACCAGCCTCCATCACTGCCTGTGGTGGCTCATTCCACACAGGCACCACCCTCTGCATGAAAAAGTTGCCCCTTAGTTCCTTTTATATCTTTTCCCTCTCACCTTAAACCTATGCCCTCTAGTTTTGTACTCTCCCAACCCAGGGAAAAGATCTTCGCTATTTACCCTAACCATGTCCCTCACGATTTTATAAACCTCTCTAAGATCTCCCCTCAGCTTCTCACGTTCCAGGGAAAATAGTCAGCCTCTCCCTATATCTCAAACCCTCCAACCCCAGCAACATCCTCGTTCTTGAACCGCTGAGTTCCATATGCTGTAAGTAGACCCACAATGCCCTTAGGGAGGTCATTTTAGGATTTTGACCCAGTGTGTGTATGTTTCTTTTTCAAAAGTTATTGATTTGTTAGAAAGCATTTGGGAAAGTATGGAGGCAACACAGTTTGCAAGATTTCCCTTCAGCCTGACTAGATCCCCCATGGAGTGAGCTCCCACCCTCTCCCCTGAACACCTCACTTACCTCGGACCTCCAGCTTGCAATCACTCCTGGCCTCTCCCAGGGGGTTGCTAGCCAGGCAGCTGTAGATTCCAGCATCGAAGGGGCTCGGTTTGCGGATCTCCAGGGTCAGTACTCCTTGGTTACTGAACATCCTGTATCGCGGGTCACCAGATAGGTCCAGCTGGTTCTTACACCACACCACCTTGGGCTGGAGATAGTGAAGGTGAAGTAGATAGAATGAGAACAGTGACAGGAAGAGCACTTGAGAAGACAGGAGAGGAAGAAAAGTGAGAATGGGGGCAGAGACAGAAACAAGGAGTAGGAGGAACAGAGACAGAGAGACGGATGAGTGGGGGATAAAGAGTCAGAGACAAGGAGATGGAGTGGGCGATGAGAGAGAGAGTTGGACTGAAGAGTCTGTTTCCATGCTGTATAACTCTATAACAAGGAGCTGGGGCGAGTGATAGAGGGATGGATGAGTGGGAGGGAGAGAGTCAGAGGCAAGGAGATGGAGTCGGCGGTGAGAGAGAGAGACAAGAAGTGTGGGGGGGTGTGTGGAGAGTCAGAGACAATGAGAGGGAGGGAGACAGATGAGGTGGAGGAAGAGAGGCAGCGGAGGGAGACAGAAAAAAGAAAGACAAGGAGGGAGAGAGAGATGGGGTGTAGCAAGAGAGAGGGGAATGAGGAGGGAGTTAGAGAATGAGGGAATTTGGTTGGGTGGGGATTGACAGGAAGAAACAGAAACAGATAGTGACAGACCGTGAGATGGACAAAGAGAGAGATGGGAAGGGAGAGAAACATAAGGACAGAGGAAGATGCGATAGGAGTGAGACAAGGGAGTGAGAGGTAGAGAGGGAGAAACTGAGATGGAGTTGGGATATTGTGGAGAGGGAGAAACAAAGGGAGCAAGAGAGATGAAGGGAAAGTGAGATGGGAGGTGGGGAGTAAAAGAGAGAGAGAGTTGTCAGACTGGAGATGAATTGCTCTTTGTTGATGGTGAACTGTTACCTTGGGTGTTCCTCGCAGAGCACAGCTCAGTGTGGCGTTGTACCCACAAATTACTGAGCGATCGATCAAGGGTCGGGTGAACTTGGGGGGCTCAGTGAAGTCAGGCTCCTTGTAGCTGGGTGGTTTGTACTGTCTCCCTGTGAGGCAGCAGGAGGATGCACAGTCAGAGACTGCAGTTACCCACAACGCCTTCTCCCCAGTTCTGCCACATGCTCTCTAACCTCTTGAATATTCTGGGATCCACCCCCATCCCATGACTCCACACTGACCCTTTGTCACTGTAACCCAGAAAAAGCTAGGGAGCAGATGAATCTGGCTGGATCTTCAATACACACTTTACTGATGTCCCATTTCCCTAATTCAGTGAGATAACCCAAACATTTGAGTAAAGCTGGCTGACTGACTGCATTGCAGTGTGACTGTCTCATTCCAAACATTGAGAGATAAGAAACACAGATAAAAACAGGGTATTTGACTCAAGCCTACTCCAGCTTGAGTCAGTGCCCAGACATGACTAAACTCCAAGACTGCACAAGGGAGTGGGTCAGGAATAGCCCCCACTTCCAGCCAGCCTCACAGCTCCTGCTGGCACTGTTAAGGTTCTCATGACAACGGTTACTCCAGGCTTACCTGGCTTCTGGATGTAGACACTGTCCTTAGACTGAGCAGCCTCCTTACTCAGACCACACAGATTCTCTGTGAAAACCCTGAAGAAATACTCATTTCCCATGACCAGCTCCGACACTGAGCACTCAGTCCGTCGACAGCGTTCGTACACCACGAACCACTCCTGGCGCAGCACAGGTAGGAAGAGAGAGAGGGAATAAGGAAAGCAGCAACAGAGTAAGTAAGGGAAGGAATTCCAGACAGACAAACAGACAGAGAGAGGGAGACATTAGCACACAGACCATAAGAGGGAGAAGGAGAAATACTTTGTCTTCTCATTCTCTATGAGACCTATGTTGAGAAGGGTTATATAGCAGTTTACAAGCATAGCAGAGTGGGCTGAATGGCCTACCTCTGCACCAATGTCCTGGTGGTAATTAACAGATTGCATGTTTGGGAATGGAGAGAGCATGGCCTTGATTGGTTTTATCAGGTTGAGTTGAATTATTGAAGTAAGAAAGGGTCAGTTCAGCGTTTTGGGCACTTCCTGGGACAGCTGATACCAAGGCTAGACAGACAGACACTCTCATTCATCTGCCTCTCTCACTTCACTTACCTCTTCCTCCATCTCTCTTTCTCTTCCTCCCCTCCACTTATTCACTACACACCACTCCTACATCTCTCCAACTCACTCACCCTTTCGTCTTTCCTTATTGCTCCCCAACTTTGAACAACCTAACCTCCCATCCCTTCCCCCTCCAAAATCACTCTCACTCCTCTCTGACTCCCCCCCCCCCCCCCCCCCCCCCCCCCCCCCCCACTCACCCTGCCCCCCTGCCTAGCCCTCAGTTATCCCGCTCCTCCTTCTTTATTCTGCTCGTATTTCATTCCCTTTCCTGTTTATGTCTCATTGCCTATCTTTCCCCTCACTCCTTATTCCTGCTCCCCACTAATCTCCCCTGTCCCCTTTCTGCCAGGGACAGAATCCAAATTGTTTTCTTGTGCCTAGTTAGTTGTGTTGGGAGTGATAGGTGCCCCACTGGGAACTCTGGGCTAGGTCCTCCCAGCACCTGGATCGAGGGTCCTGCATCAACCCCTGGGCAAGTTACCCAGCAACTGGAGGTTGATTGTGGATTTGGTCACAGCATACAAGCTAATCCCTGGTAAGAGGCATTGACAGTGGTCAGAGTGGCAGTGGTCTGTTGTATGTTGCTAACACCCTTCATCCCACAACATTTCTGCACATTCTTACCATGGTCTTCTTGTCAGCCTTCTGGATGGTGTACCCAGTGATCTCACAGTTGCCATCATCCTTGGGGGGTAGCCAGGACAGAGCCACATTCAAACCCCACACCTCGCGGATCTTCACAGCGACAGGGGGTCCTGGCCTGTCTGGGAGAGCACACTGGATAATGAGAGTTACTCAGCATGCGGACTGCAGGAGAGGTCAGTGAGTGAGTTACATTAACAAAACTGGGCCAGCATTGAGTATTAGAGGAACTTCACTCTGCATCTAAGTGGGACTGCAGCTCTCCTTAGATAGAGTGGGTACAGGAGAAGAGGACTTGGCTTTGCAATACTGTTCAGTTAGATCGAGCTGATCTGTCTGTTCACTTGGAGTATTGGATGCAGATTGGTCCCCTCCTCTGAGGAAGGATGTTCTGGCTATGGAGGGAGTGCAATGAAGATTTACCAGACTGAATCCTGACTGATGTATGAAGAGAAACTGAATTGGTTAGGACTACATTCATTGGAGTTTAGAAGAATGAAGAATTTATAGAAGAATATAAATTGCAATTATATTGCAATTTCTAAATAAATTCTTCATTTAGAAGAATGAAGTTTTATAGAAACCTATAAAACTTTAATAGGACTAGACAGGTAAACACAGGAAGGATGTTCCTGGTGACCAGGGAGTCCAGCAGCTGGGCTCACAAGTATTGATGCGGGGTAACCCCATTTAGGACTGAGATGAGGAGAAATGTCTTCACCCAGAGAGTGGTGAGCCGGTGGAATTCTCTACCACAGAAACAGATTAAGGCCAAAACTCTGAATGATTTCAAGAAGGTGTTAGATATACTTATTAGGACTAAAGGGATTAAAGGATATGAGGAGAAAATGGGAACCGGGGACTGAGTTCGATAATCAATCATGATCATATTGAATGGTGGAGCAGGCCAATTCAGCCCTGCTCCTGATTTTTATGTTAATTTGATGGCAAACACCTAACTTTCAGTTTTTTTTCTAGCTTTTCCTGGACATTCTACCGAAGGAAAACAGGTCTGTGCAGTCTGGCTGCCTCACTTAATCTTCTCAGTCCCAGTATCCGTTTTTTATATGCAACCCTGTCCAAGACCGCCATATCCTTCCTGAGGTGAGGCGATGCAGGTCTGAATGAAACATTATACAGATGGGACAGGACAGTAAGAAACTCAGAGGAACAGAGGGATCTTGGGGTGCTTGTCCAATCCCTGAAGGTGTTGGGACAGGATTAATAGATTTTGATTTGATTTATTATTCTTGTCACATGTACTGAGATACAGTGAAAAGTACTGTTTCGCTTGCTAACCAGACAAATCATACCTTACATAAGTACATAGAACAGAATGCAGAATATAGTATTACAGCTAAAGAGGTGCAGAGAAAGAACCAACTCTAATATATTGAGTGGTCTGCTCATAAGTCTGATAACAGCGGGCAAGAAACTGTTCTTAAATCGGTTGGTAAGTTTTCTCAAAGTTTTGTATTTTATTATCAGGGTGGGAGGGGTGTTTGATTATGTTGGCTCAATACGGTGTGGAGCTGGAGCAACACACATTGACTCTGACTCCAGCATCTGGAGCTCTTGCTATCTCCAGGTGATTATGTTGGCTGCTTTCACATTTTTTGCTGTCTTGGGCAGAGCAGTTGCCATACCAAGCTGTGATGCATCTGGATAGGATACTTTCTATGGCACATCTACAAAAATTGGTAAGAACCACTGTGGACATGCTCCCTTGTTATTGACCCTTCATCTAAGAGGACCAGCTTCTTCTCTTCACCCTGTCCATGCTCCTCAATCTTATACACCTCAATCAGGTCTCCTTTCAACCTTCTCTGTACCAAAGAAACCCCCAATGCAAGCTTATCCAGACTCTCTTCATAAGCTGAAATGCTCCATTCCAGGCAACATCCTGGTGAATCTCTTCTGCATGCCCTCTAGTGCAATGATATCCTTCCTATAGTGTGGGGACCAGTAATCCAGCTGTGGTCAGACCAAAGTTCTGGCTAAGGTGGCATACAGGACACTTCAGTCAAGGCACAGACAAAAAAGCAGAGAGGTTATGTTGGAGCTGAACAGAATTTTGGTTAGGCTGCAGCTGGATTACTGTGTCCAGTTCTAGTCACCATACTACAGGAAGGGTGTGATTGCACGAAAGGAGTGCAGAGGAGATACTCCAGGATGTTGCTAGGGATGTAGCATCTTAGCTACAAAGAGAGGCTGGATAAGTTTGGGATTGTTTCTTTGGAGCACAGGAAGTTGAGGGGTACCTGACAGAGGTATATAAGATTCTGAGGGGCATGGACAGGGTGAATAGAGAGCAACAATTCCCCTTACCTGAAGGGGCAATAACGAGGGGGAATAATTCTAAGGTGAAAAGCAGGGGGTTTAGAGGGGATTTGAGGAAAGGTATTTTTCACTGAGAGGGTGGTGGGTTAGAATGCACTGCCTGGGCCTACTGGGGGGAAGTGGGCCAAGTGTAGAGTTAGAGTATTTCTGGTGGTCCACATTTGATGAGCTGAAGGGCCTCTTTTGCATTATATGACTGAAGGTCTCTATGGTTGTAGGATGTCCTTCACTCAGGCTGAGCTGGTAGTTGAACAGACTGAGTACCTGGAGAGGAAGGGAGGGCTATTGAGCGGGTAGAATAACCAGTAGAGTGTGACCAGTGATAGCCCACAGGGAACTGTGTTGAAACCAGACAGCAGAGTAAGTACTCTGATGGATAGAAGCATGAAAGTACGATGAAATAGTTAAAGGTTCTGCACAACCAAGTGCCCAAGTATTGCTGAAGGGAGAGATGAGTTGTTAAAGACTTTTCATCTTGAATTCATCATGACAGAAGCAAGAATGCCATACTTCCATCAGGATGGATACAGGAATACCAAACTTCAATCAGGACTGATGCAAGAATGCAAAATTTCAAAGGGTTGAAACAGTTTCAATTCAGTGCCCAATCAGCGCTGACCTGTCAACCAATTAGCATCCACTAACTCAACTCTCAAGAACTTTTCTCCTGCAGTAAAAATTGTTTTGATTGTTTGAAATTTTCCATTCTTACATCTGTCCTGACAAGTACAAGAAGACAACATGTCTCTTTTTCAGCAACTCTCAGTAGATGGAGTGATTGGGTAAAATTTTGAGCTGATTAGATTGCAATGTGGCTAACCCAGTCTGGATCCAAAAAGAAGGAAACTTGTGTCCTTTTAAATGGGGAAAAGCAGTGGATGAACAAATGTTTGGTAGCTCCAGCTACACAGATCATTAAAATATCCTGAACATGTCCAGAAAATAATCGAAAAATCCAAATGGAATTCTGGCTTTTATTTTGGGGCTGTACAGAGCCCTGCTTCAACCATCCCCGGAGTCACTGGGAGCTGCTCTGGGCCTCATACTTTTGGAAGGAGATTGTGGCATTTCAGAGACAGCAGTGTATTTACTACAATGATACGTGTGCTCCAAGGTTTAGAACATGAGGGGAGATGATCCAAACTAGGGTCGTATTCCCTGGAAAGGGATCAGAGCAGTTAGAGAAAATATCCTTCCACAGGTTTGAGACCCAAGGTTATTGAGACATTTTTATGAGATGTCTGACTAATTTCCAAACAACCTTTTACCTTCCACATCACCACAGATCATAAAATGCTTTGGTCTTTGAGATGGCCTCATTGGTTGTAATCACCCCAGCATTAATTTACGTTGAGCAAACAGCAGCAATGCAATAACTACTCCTGTCCTGGGAATGTTTGATGGGGACAGTGTAGAGGAAGCTTTACTCTGTATCTAACCCCATGCTGTCCCTGTCCTGGGAGTGTTTGATGGGGACAGTGCAGAGGGAGCTATACTGTGTATCTAACCTCATGCAATTCCTGTCCTGTGAGTATTTGAAGGGGACAGTATTGAGGCAGCTTTACTTTGTAACTAACCTCATTCAGTCCCTGTCCTGGGAGTGTTTGAAGTGGACAATGTAGTGGCACCTTTACGCTGTGTCTTCTTTTTATTCACTTGTAGGATGTGGACATCGCTGTATGGCCAGCATTTTTATTGCCCATCCCTAGCTGCCGTTGAGAAGATGGTGGTGGTGAGCTACCTTCTTGAAACGCTGCACTTCATGTGCTGTAGGTTGACCCACAGTGACCTTAGGGAGGGAATTCCAGGATTTTGACCCAGCGACATTGAAGGAGCAGTGATATATTTCCAAGTCAGGATGGTGAGTGGCTTGGAGGGGAGCTTGTAGGTGGTGCTGTTCCCATGTATCTGTTGTTGTTGCCCTTCTAGATGGAAGTGATCATGGGTTTGGAGGGTGCTGTCTAAGGATCTTTGAATTTCTGCATTGCACCTCGTAGATAATGCGTACTGCTGCTCTGAAGCTTGGATAGTGGAGGGAGTGGATGTGGTGCCAATAAAGTGGGCTGCTTTGTCCTGGGAGTGTTTGATGGGGTCGATGTAGTGGGATCTTTACTCTGTATCTAACCTCATGCTGTCGCTGACCTAGGAGAGTTTCATGGGGACTGTATAGAGAGATCTTTATTCTGTATCTAACCCTGTGCTGACCCTAACTGACAGGGGAATTGCTTGTGAAAGTTGCAGTGTGCTGTCAGTGATTGGACTTACCTATGACCTGGATGTGGATACTGGCTGTGTCCTGGGCGCTCTCAACTTCTACCTTCAATTGGTAGATTCCTGAATGTCCACGCTCCGCACTGCGGATAAACAGAATGGTGTCGCTGTCACTGTTACGGACTGTGATGTTCTGCAGATTGAGAGGCTGTCCATCTTTCAGCCAGCTGACCTCTGGTCTGGGCTTGCCCTGTACAGTCAATCACAGCAACAATTCATGTCAAACAACCACATCTCACAGGAGATACACTAGCAGGGACTTTACTATCACTCCCCATAGGACCCGTGAAGAGGGTTCATTCAGACTAGAGATCAGAGAGACCCTGCACATAGTACAGAGATGGAGCCAGAGGACCCCTTTGGAACCCCAGAGCAGCATGGTGGTTCAGTGGTTAGCACTGCTGTGTCACAGCGCCAGGAACCCGGGTTCGATTCTACCCTTGGGTAACTGTGTGGAGTTTGCACATTCTCCCTGTGTCTGCGTGGGTTTCCTCCGGGTGCTCCAGTTTCCTCCCACAGTCCACAGATGTGCAGGTTAGGTGGATTGGCCATGCTAAATTACCCATTGTGTTCAGGGATGTGTAGATTAGGGGGATGGGTCTGGGTGGAATGTTCTGAGGGTCAGTATGGACTTGTTGGGCCGAAGGGCCTGTTTCCACACTGTAGGGATTCTACAATCTATGATGTGCATTGAGGGTTAGGCCAGGCCATTGCGATATAGTTATGGGGAACAGATGGCAGAGGAGGTTAATTGATATCTTGCATCAATATTCACAGACGAAAATATTTTGAACATCCCATTAATACTATAGAATACTGGAAGGAATTACGTGCCATCACTACAGAAGCAGTATTAGGCAAACTAATGGGTTAAAAGGCAGATAAGTCCCCTGGCCTTGAGGTCTTGCGTCTAAGATCCCAAAAGAAGTCACTACAGAGATAGTGAGAGGATCGGTTATAATTTTCCAAAATTCCATGGATTCTGAAGGAGTACCAGAGGATTGGAAAGCTGCTAATATGACACCCCGCCCTCCCCCCCCCCCCCCCATTCAAGGGGAGGGTGTGGCAGGAAGGTAAAAAACAATTAGCCTAACATCTATTGTTATGAAAGTATTGGAATCAATTATTAAGGATGTAATAGCAGTGCATTTGAACAATCATATCTAATCAAGGAGATTACTGTATGATGAAAGGGAAATCATATCTAACTAATTTATTAGCTTTTTGACAAACTCAACCAGACTGGATAGAGGGGAGGGCAAATAGGGTACAATGTGGGAAAATGTGAAGTTGTTCATTTTGGAAGGGAGAACTAAAGAACAGAATATTATTTAAATTCAACAGCAGAAAGCTACAACACAAAGGGACTTGTACACAAAACACAGAAAGCTAGCACATGGGTGCAGCGGGTAATTAAGGCTAATGGAATATTGGGATAACAAGGTGTAGAGCTGGATGAACACAGCAGGCCAAGCCGCATCAGAGGAGCAGGAAGGCTGACGTTTCGGGTGTAGACTCTTGTCTTAAAGGGGTTGGATTATAAGAGCAGGGAAGTCTTATTGTAATTGTAAAATGTGCTGGTGGGACTACATTGTGAGTACTGTGAGCAATTTTGATCTCCTCATTTCAGGAATGATATCATTTCAGTTGAGGTAGTTCAGAGAAGGTACACTAGGATGGTCCCTGGTATGGAGGGGTTGTCTTATGAGCAAAGCCTGAACAGGGCAGGACTCTGCTCACTGGAGTTTAGAAGAATGGGAGGTGATCTCATTGAAACATGTCGGTTTCTTAAGGGGGCTTGACAGAGTAAATGCTCAGAGGTTGTTTTCCCTCATGGGAGAGTCTAGGACCAGAGGACAATCTCAGAAAAAAGGGCTCCAATTTAAGGCTGAGATGAAGAGGAATTTCTTCTCTCAGAGGGTTGAGAGTCTTTGGAACACCCTGCCAGAGTCCTTGTGTATATTTATGCTGAGATAGATTCTTAATCAGTCAGGGAATGAAGGGTTACAGGAAAAGGGCAGAAAAGTGGACATGAGGAATGATGGTTCAGCCATGATCCTACTGAATGGCAGAGCAGGTGTGAAGGGCTGAATGTGTGAATCCCTCAGTACTGACCCTCTGACAGTGCAGTGCTGACTCTTTGACAGAGCGACCCCAAAATTCGCAGAACCAACCCATTGACAGTGCAGCACTCCGTCAGTACTGACGCTCCAACAGTGTGTCACTCCCTCAGCACTGATCCTTCGACAGTACAGCACTCTCTCAGTACTGACACTCCAACAGAGTTAGTCAGACTTAGGCAATAGGGTGGGAGAAGTGTGTATTTCCCCATTCCAAGAGCATTAGAGTAGTAGTGGGAGTATATGTGCATTGCTAGTATTTTAGAGTCTGGGAGAGGGTGTCAGTGTTGGGATTGAGAGGGATCTCTACCCCCAAGGTATTAGTGAGTGAGAGGGTATGCCCTTCCCAGAATGGTGGAGTGCGTACCCCTCCAACCCCAGAGTGTTAGAGTATTTTCTCATCCAATAGAGGGCGGCAGAGAGACTTCACTGAAGAGTATTCTGGGAGAAGCCGGTACAGTCACCATGACCGATCAGCGGAGTAAGGAAGAACCAAGTGTCAAGGAACGGTAAGCTCCAAACATTACATTACTATAATGTTTCATCCTTCCCTCCTCCTCTAACCAATAAAAAAAGAGACGGATTGAGAGATGCTGTTGGAAAGTTTGTTGTAGCCTAGCAGTTACTTCGTCTATTTGTAAAGATTGCATTGTAATTTAAGTAACCAGTTAATTAGAAATTACCAGAAAAATAGTTTGAAAGGGTCTGCTGTGTGGTGGGAGTACTGCTAGTTGGTATAATTGTGGGCTTAGGTGAATCCTGGGCTTCGGTGAGTACAGCAAGCAAGGTAAAGGCAAGGTAAGATTCTTTTATCTTTCTTTGTGTAAAGGGGCAGAGATGGCAGTTGGGGCAGTGGTGGGACATCAGGGAGCAGCCTAGTGTCCCTGACGACTATGTCTGCAGGAAGGGTGACCGGCTGCAGCTCCTCACAGACAGTGTGGTTCAGTTGGAGCAGCAGTTGGACACACCAAGGAGCACACAGGGGACAGAGAGTGTGATAGACGCTAGTTACAGCGAGGTGGTCACACCAGAGGTTCAGTCAGGTAGATAGGTGACCACCAGGAGAGGCAGGAAGGTAGTACAGGAGTGTCCTGTGGCCAATCCCCTCTCTAACAGGTTTACTGTTTTGGATACTGTTGGCAGGGCAATAGCCTCTCAGGGTAGTATAATAGCAGCAGCCTGTGGAACCACAACTGGCTCTGCTGTGGAGCAGGGTCGGGCAGGATCCAAGCAAGCGATAGTGGTTGGAGACTCACTAGTTAGGGGCACAGACAGCTGTTTCTGTGGCTGTGTTCGAGACTCCAGGATGGTGTGCTGCCTCCCTGGTGCCAGTGTCAAGGACGTTTCTAAGTGATTGCACAAAATTCTTAAGGGGGAGCGTGAACAGCCAGAGGTCCTGGTGCACATAGGTACCAACAACATAAACAGTAAGAAGGATGGGGTCCTGCGGAGTGAATACAGTCAGTTAGGAAAGAGGCTGAAGAGCAGGACTTCGAGAGTAGTAATCTTTGGGTTAATAGCAGTACCATGTGCTAGTGAGGCAAGGAACAGAAAGATAGAAGAGATGAATGTGTGGCTAAGGAGCTGGTGCAAGAGGCACGGTTTCAGGTTCTTGGATCATTGAGACCACTGTACAAGAGGGACAGATTGCACCTAAACAGGAGGGGAACCAATATCCTCGCAGGGAGATTCGCTCGTGCTACTAGAGTGGAAGGGGGCTGGGAACCAGAGCAGCAGGTTAGCAAGTGGAGGGATTGAGGGGAAAGTAGATGTTGAGACCAGTAAATCAGAAAGAAAGGACAGGCAGAGACAGGTGAATGAACACAGCGGTACTAATGGGCTGAAGTGTGTTTATTTTAATGCAAGGAGTATTATAGGCAAGGCAGATGAGCTTCGAGCCTGGATCAGTACATGGGACTATGATGTTGTGGCCATTACAGAGACTTGGTTGAGAGAGGGGGACAGGACTGGCTGCTCAATGTTCCAGGCTTTGGTTGTTTTAGACAAGATAGAAAGGAAGGTAAAAGGTGGAAGAGTTGCGTGACTGATCAGGTGGAATGTTCCATCTGCCCTCAGAGAGGACATACTGGAGGACTCATCCACTGAGGCAATATGAGTAGAGCTTAAAAATAAGATGGGTGCAATCCCTCTGAGAGGATTATATTATAGGCCCCCCCAACAACCACTGAGCCATTGAGGAACAAATATGTCGGCAGACTATGGAAAAGTGTAATAAAAACAGAGTTGTTGTAGTGGGTGACTTTACCTTCCCCAAGATTGACTGGGACTCCCTTAGAGCAAGAGGCTTAGATGGGGCAGAATTTGTTAAGTGCATCCAGGAGGATTTCTTGAAACAGTATGTGGATAGTCCAACTAGAGGAGGGGCCATACTGGACCTTACATTGGCTAATGAGCCTGGCCAGGTGACTGACCTTTCAGTGGGAAAACATTTTGGAAACAGTGATCACAACTCTAACCTTTAAGACAACTGGGAATAAGGATAAGTCAGGATCTTGCGGGTAGGAACTAAATTTGGGCTTGTGCAAATTACATCAGTATTAGGCAGGAGCTAGGGAGTGTTAATTGGGAGGCGCTGTTATCAGATAAGATCACATTTGACATGTAGGAGTTGTTTAAAAACCTGCTGATCAGAGTTCAGGAGCAGCATGTTCCAGTAAGGAGGAAGGACAAGGATGGCAAGGTAAGGGACCCTTGGATAATGAGGGAGGTTGTGAATTTAGTCAAAAGGGAAAAAGAAGCATATGTGAGGTTTAGGAAGCTAAATTTGAATAGGGCCCATCAGGATTATAAAGAAAACAGGAAAGAACTCAAGCAGGGAGTTAGGAGAGCAAGAAGGGGTCATGAAATGCCTTACCAAGTCGGGTTAAAGTGAATCCTAAGACATTCTATACATACATTAAAAATAAGATGATAACTAAGAAGAAGGTAGGACCACTCAAGGGTAAAGGTTTGAAGGCAGAGGATGTGGGTAAGATCCTAAATGAGTACTTTGCATCAGTATTTATCCAGGAGAAGGATATAAAGGATACTGAGATTTGTGTGGAGCCTG